TGTAAAAAGATAAATTTGTAAATTTAACACCGTAAAAAAGTATGTGGAATAACTTACTGACGTTTCGGATGTTAATCCTTCGTCGGAGTAAAGAGAGAGAACTAGGTATAGTGTGAGTTTATATAGTAAGAGTAACAAAGAGAATAGACCAATAGGAGCAAGGTAGGCATGGTGACGAGAAATAAACAAAAAAGCAAAGGAAGTGTTAGACAAAAGAACAATAAAAAGGTGCTAAAAAGGAAACAAAAGAATTAAAACTTTGTAATTTGTTGTATGTCGGTGAGACTGGCCGTCGTCTTGGCGATCGTATCTGTGAACATCTTCGTAGTATTCGTAAGAATGATCTTGATAAGCCTGTTTCCCGCCATTTTAACTTACCCAACCATTCTATTTCTAACTTTATTGTTTTTGGTTTGTCTTTGATTAGCGGCAATAATGATTGTCGCAAAACCAAAGAAATGCGGCTCATTCACCAATTGGGCACTTATAATCCCCATGGGTTGAATGAACGCTTTGTTTTCGTTTCCTTTTTAGTACCTTTATTGTTCTTTTGTCTAACACTTCCTTTGCTTTTTTGTTTATTTCTCGTTACCATGCCTACCTTGCTCCTATTGGTCTATTCTCTTTGCTACTCTTACTATATAAACTCACACTATACCCAGTTCTCTCTCTTTACTCCGACGAAGGATTAACATCCGAAACATCAGTAAGTTATTCCACATACTTTTTTACGGTGTTAAATTTATCTTTTTACATAACAACTTCTTCTTAAACAGAGCCCGTGCGCACATAAAGCAGTATTTGCGCAATACACAATTTCCTCAACATTACAGTATTTCTTGTTCTTTTCACCTGAAAATGATGAAAATGAGAATTTAAGCGTTTGTTGAATTTGTTAAATTATTGTTAATATAATTTATTTCTCTGCGGTGCGGCGCGATTCCTAGTTCCCTTAATCTGCAGTTGTTTCCATTTCTTCCACTGGCTTTGTCATCCCATTTCTTTTTTTTCTCTTTCAGTTGTTCTTCTCCATCTCCTTTAACGTTTTATCCAACGCTTTYTCCTCTGAACCAAACAATTCTAGGCATTGTCTTTTCATCATTATTATCCAAACGAAGACTTATACAACAATCAATTTAGGGGAGGGGCCTGGGAAAAATTAAATTCTCGTACATGTTTTTTTAAAACAAACAAATCTTCTAAAATGAAAATAACAAGTGAATTAGCTAGTTTTCTAATTAATTCGCTAATTTTAGCGGGAAATTTCTATTTGATACGTTCTCCAAACTAATCCGTCATGCAAATTTCCCGCCAAAAGTTCGCGCCATGACGTCATTAGGCAAGACGATGATTATGTAAAACTCCTGTAAAACGTTAGTATGAATATGTAAAGTTACGGACGGCATACAAAATGATCAATTCTTACTGACGACAGGAAATCTAATTAAACGACATCCACATTTCTTTCCTGCTTCATTAGCATATTGTTCCACCATGCATCTGATCTCAGAGTAGACATTTGAACTTTTAAGCTTCTTTGTGCCGCATTTGGCTGGATAAGGCTCAGGCAAATGGATTTTCTGTGTAAAAAGGGGTGAWTAATTCTTGATACCTTGTATATCAAAGAATKGTATGTCATTCGTGCGGGTTCCCTGTGCTTTTTAGTTTTTGGCTTCCTTTAGCGAATCCATGCCATATATGGAAACAAACAAAATGGCCGATTGTTGAGAAGTGTTTTCGCTATAATATCTGCATGTTTCAGACCATTTCAAGATTTAAAAGTCGAGAAAATCGGCAAAAAACATTTCTATCGTACTTCCAAATAAGGTAAGATTTCCATATATGGCTGCTAAACGAAGGACAACTTTTGTRGGGCAATTCTAGAATAACTGAACAACACATTTCAACAAGTGTTTCCGAGAAGTGAGCAATGGAGAGCGATAGCATATACAACCTTTCCTTTCATTCTGCAACTCGGTCACACGATTATCTAATGGTCAATTTTCTTTGAGTGTTTGATCGTTTTGATTATCATTTTTTTTATTGACATAATGTATACCTTCTTTTTTCGAATCCTAAGATTCGTTATAAATCCGGTAGGAATATCAATGGCATATCTGTCCATTGCTGGGTAAATATCAGGATCATGGACCATGAGTTTGAACCCAGC